TGGCTCTAGGGGATGTGTTCTTCTTAACATCCCACATGAAGGCCTCATCCGCCATGCCAATGCTTGCAGCTTTCAAGGTCAATTCCTGGGTTCTGCGTGTGTTCCTTTCCCCCCCATTGAACCCTAAATACGATAGACGCAGCCGAACAAAGCACGTTGCCCAAGCACGATGATCTCTACGTGGCCTTGCAAGATACGCAGGCTACCAGAGACCGGTTTTCCCCTTCGTCGTAATTGACAAGCGACCGAAGAAACTCATGCTGCCGAATGCCGAATTGATTATGGAGCTGTTTAAAACAAACAAGGACTTTTGCAATTTCCCACGGCTAAATTGATTGCCGCAGAAATAACTCTTATAGAACCGCCGAGCGGCAACTTGTGTCAGTGGGGTGACCTTTTTTTTTGCGCGAAAGTCTCCCTCTGCCGAAGCACATCACTTCCAATGGTCGGTGGGACGATAACTAGCAAGCCTGAGCATTGCGGCCCCAGTCCCGAATTAGACCAAGCAGAGTTCATGTCGAACAACTGATTTGTGTGTCATTCTTGCGCAGGGGCCATACTTATCTTCTCTGTATCCTTCCAATTTTATTAGATGATCCCGAAGGGAATCCATGCCAGTGGGGTCAAGCACATCAAAGCCCTCATTGAGCCCCAGTGGTTGCGGCGTAGCAACATAGGGGTGCTGCGGAAAGCATGGAGTCGCTGATCCCGATCCCTCGCTTCATCCATCTTGCTGCCCAATATCGAGACTTCTGCCACTAAGACCTAGCATTCTCAGGTCTGCAGAATACGGGTTACCTACCCAGCCCAGCTCACAAAAAGCACCCACATAGAAACTTGCAAATGGCTCGCTGATCCCTGTAACTGCTGCAGCACAAGGTGCTACAGTGGGCTGCACACAATTGCAGTTGACTTTTCGCATACCGTGTGAGGGCCACAGCACGTTAGCGTGCAGTTCCAGGTGGATGGATCCGAAGCAGCCTTCAAAAGGGGGAGGCTTAGGCTTGAACGGCTTCAAGGGCTTGAAGGGAGGGACGAAGAAAGCCCTTCAAGCGCTTGAAGGCTGAAGAGTTCGCGAAGAGGGGGCTTCAAGGGCTTCAAGAGAGGGTGCTTCCCTTTAAGAGGTACGACATTAAAGGGCGTGAGATTTTTTGAACATTCTCTCTTTAATTGACCTCTTGAGCCCGAGACTTTAAAGGATGCTTCAAGGGCTTGAAGGGGGCAGAACAACCACGCTTGCTGGTACCACAAGAAACGGGACACATTGGGTTTTCTTTGATTCTAAAATAAGAAATCTGCAATGGCAGTGACGAGGATAAACGCTCTTTGAGTTCAAAGCACGTGTCTCAGCTCTGTACTTGACGATGGCCTTCTGGCCGAAGAAAGTTCCTTCCGCTACAGCAGCCCTTCGAGAGAAGGACGAAAGCACTCAAGTGACCATTCCTTCATTCCACTTTGGACCATAGAAGAAGTTTAAGAGGAAGTCGACAAAAGCTGGCTGGCCAAAGTACATGACTTTCAAGATGCAATAAACAAGCAGACGCCATGTTAATAACTTAATCACCATCACCTTCAAAGTCACCGTGGACGGACCTGACACTGTCGCTGTCCCTCATGAAGCAGCGGGCTGAAAAGTGCCACCACAAGACTACAACGATTTAACAACATTGTGTGTTGTTGCGGTGATGGCTTGCAAAGGGTTTATTGTCGGGCGCGGCGTTTGAAACGGTAAATACAATTACAAAGAAAAAACAAGGGGCGCGCCGTTTTAACGTCGCGCTTTTTAGAGGTTGCGAGAGAACCGTTTTGAACGCCGCGCTCAATGTACGTGGGTGGTTTAGAAAACTAACAACCGTTTAAATGCCGCGCAATTGAAGCGTGGTGTTTATGATGGCTGAGACTTCCCACAAAGGGCTTCTAACTTAGAAATAATGAAGGCTTTACGAATGGCTTCCGAAACCTAATTTCAGGAAAAGTGAGAGCTTCCCAGGCGTTTTCTAAACCAATTTCAGAAAATAGTAAAAGATTCCTAATGACCAGATTTCGGAACAATAAAGATTTTCCCATAGCATTTAAACCCAAACTTCAGTTATAGACGTTGCAATCGCTCATACCATTTGAGCGCCGCGCAATCAAGGGAATCGTTTCAAATGGACCAATTAACGAAATTACAAACATCCAGAGGCGTATAATTTGAATCGAAAACCTAAACCCAAATCCTGCCATTTTTTAAATGGGTATAATACTTTGAAAAAGAGAAGACTCTTGAGGACTGACCGATAAATGTACACCAGCAGAAGTTCTAATTGCGCTTGTTTTTTTGTTCACCAGAACTGGTTGTCGGCTCAATGTTGTTCTCGCAGTTTCTCAAAAATAAAGCTGTAGGGCTTAAGAAAATTGTCAATACATTTTTTGGTTCTCTATTACATTTTAATACATATTAACAATGATCAAATTCTTTACATCGGAAAATGATTTAATTCTTTTATCTCGGAAATAATTTATATAATTTCAGATGTAATAAATTTGGACGATTGACAGATTGGAAGAATCCACAAATAAGATTTCGCCAACTAGAATAGAAACTGATACATTGATTTGCCTCTCCGCGCAAGGGGTTGGGGCGGGCAGCCTACCCCAGAACGTTTTGTAAAATCCTCTCTTCAACCCCAGTAAGCCTTTTTGCTGTCACTGGAACAAACTTGCTCGATCCACAATGGAAACCAGCTTCGTTCCAAAGGTGTCTGCGCAGTCTTGCAAAAAAGCAAAGAAACGTTCTTGACCCATCGGACTCAGAGCAGCAATCATAAAGCGTTTCGGTCCATAGGACGAGTACTACAACACCAGCGCGGCCTAAGGTCGTTCTTAGGGAATTGTGGCAGTGTGGGAATTGTGGCAGTGGCTGGGAAGAACTTCAAAGCAGCAGGTGTTTTATCTAATCTTAGCTCACATCAACCGTAACAGCGTAATCAATTGCAGTGAACATATGAGTTGCAAAAAGCTGCGTGTAACTTGCGTCGCACGCGCTGCTAATCAGACACAAACGAGAGGACAACGGTTTGAGACATAAACACCTCGATGGAGCTCATTCAGCAGGAGCTTTGGGCGGGACTTGGGGCCCTAATATAATTCAGGCAGATGGCCTTGGAAGCTATTTGCCTGAAATTTGTCCACCAATGCGTGGACGGTACTTGGGCAACTAGTTCCAATATCCTGGATCTGCGCAATGTTTTATTACAACAGGCTCTGTTCTGTCTGCTTGTGTGTACTAAAGCATCAGCAAACGATCAGGTGTTGTTGCCGCAAAGCAGGGATGCTCCTCTGCAACACTTCTACCTTGGCACTCGGCGAAGGCCTTCAGTTGCGCAGGCTTAAGCCCCCTTTAAGCATTTCCGAAGCCACCTCTTCTTCTTAAGAAGCCCGTGAGTCACCCCATTCAACCCCCTTTTAGCTCTTAGGCCGCTCCCTTAAGCCCCTTCCCTTTTAAGCCCCCTTAAGCTTCCCCCCCTTAAGCTTTTATTAAACCCTCGAACACTCTTTGTCTTTCTCGCCTCAGAGGGGGCGTCAGATTTTTCATAATCACGTTCTCTCCAATGGAAAAGTGAGCCGTTGCATTGCATCTAAAATCTGCTCTGAGTGAAGTTAACGAAGAGAAATTTTAGTTTTTCTTGAACACCAGGCTTCTTGAACACCAGGCTGAGAAACTTGAGTCTTTTGATGATGCCATTTTTTTTTTGGTTTATGTATTTTTGGCACTTAGTTCAAACTCAAGCTGTGGTCAACGGGTGATAGCGCGTTAAGTTTGTGCCTTAGGCCAAAAACAAAAATGATTTTAAATGCAAAGCGTTTTGAGCAATGAGCCCATTCTCACTGCATAACCTGTTACAGTAACAGCATGCATCCATCTGCACACATGCTCAGGCAACTGTGATTGCACACCCAGGTCATAACTTGCGTCAAAATTTTCCCGCCCAGCCCGCCCTGCGCATCAGTTAACAACGCAAACTTAAACCATCTCTTGAGTCACTTGCGTGACCCCGATCAGCGGTGTGCTGCCCAGCAGTGCTGTTGCCTATCCCGCTGCTTGCACCGTGCAACTAGGTTACCTTGTCCTCTTCCAAGAGGGTTAGCGCCGTGCATCTTTGGGACTGCCTTCTCCTGTTGAGTGTGGGCCTGGCCCTCGTGTGTGATGGAAGCCAGCCTGGCTTCCATCTTTGCATATGCACCTTGATGATCTTTCCCCAAGGCACCTGTGGAAAAGTGAGCCGTTTGCATTGCCTCTGAGAGTGAGTTTTACCAAGATAGATTTTTAAATTGAATAGTGTTTCTTGAACACCAGGCTGATATACTTGAGTGTTTTTGATGATGCCAAAGGCTTTTGGTTTATCTATTATTGGCACTTGGTTCAAACTTAATGAGAGTCTGTTGTTTCAGCCTGTGAGGGCCTCAAAGCGGTCAAGCCCACGGAGACTCCTTTCAGAAGAAGTAAGAACTCCTTGGTAGTTTGGTTCTTCTAAAGAGCTGTAGGTTTGATCCGCCTTGGATCGGCAAGGTGCTATCAGGTCAGAGGTTCGTAGTTGCGACTGTCAATTACCAGTCTCGCCACCACGCCAAAAGAAGGTACTGTCTTGGAGTGTGTGTGGTGGTTGCTGCTTGTTGTCTTTGAGGTTTCCTTGTCAAGTGCAACTGTTTGAGAACACCTTAAACCCCAACCCATCCGGCCAATGGCTCAAGCGTGAGAACAAAGCTTTTTGGCTTGCTGCCAGTGTCTGTAACCAACACGGGCAACTGCATATCTTTGGGACATGACCGTCATGCACACTCCAACGATTTTATGACGCGGTTGTGACAAACAGTGGACAGGGTGTTTCTGATGGTAGCGCTTGTTCCGGAGCACTTCACCCAGCTAGCAATGCAAATGCGCAACCTTCAAAAATCACGGTAGCCGGGCACCGTTGTCGAACCAGTTGGAGCCATGCTGCTAGACTCAAGTCTGCATCATGCCATCCACTTGGATCTTGTCGCAGATTGCAGTGGCTCGCGCACTTGCAGAGCGGCCTGGAGAAGATTTCTGGACTTGTGCGAGAGACGGACCGTTTTGGCACAGCTTTCGGGAGACTGAAGCTTGGCATTGTCTTTTCCAGCCTGTTTTGATGTAAGCAAACAACATGTGAAACAATGACAGTCCCAATCTCGCACTGCTGAGAGAAAGGCGTCGCGTTTGATAATTTCGTAAGGCGCGGTACATGATGTACGATGAAACAAGCCAGACACTCAGAGACATGACTGGGGATCAGGCAGATGCGTCTGCGTTAGTTCGCTTGCCCTTGGGCAAAATTATGCATTTGACATGCGGGTGATGACAGCATGTCTTCGTTCTTGGCGCAAGCCTGGTCAAGACTTGGGCATGGCAGCTTCCACATGCAGCGCACGTAATGGCTTTTTCCATCACGGGCTCGGCCCGCTTGGTAGGGCATGTCACGGATACTTGAAACATCCTTGCCACTTGAATGAAGGATTGCAGGAAAAAATATCACCCTTTTGCCAGTCGTACAGTTACGCTCCAGAGCTTTGTTGCAAGGGCTTGTGTCGGCTTTCAGATCCTCGAAATGCTTTGCATCAGAATTGATAGATGTTTGTAGAGCCATGGGCCCTGGGGATGTTAGATGCTATTCAATACCTCAGGTTGTCATAGACCTGAGTGCGAGCTCAAACTTTCAAGGTCCGCTGCGAACGTCGCTGGCACGATTAGCTGGCTTGCTACCGGCACCTTGACCAAGAGATTTGCAGGGTTCGAAGATATTCCTAATCATCGGAGCCCGCAGCCACAGGTGTGGCAGCTACAGGAAAGCGCCTTGTCAGACCCCCGGCGGGTCACGGAGGGCTTTGCGTGCCCTACAGGCCATGCATGGCCAAGCAAGCCGGCTGGGATGTCTTGTGTGTTAGCAACTGAGTCCCTGACAGACAGGTGAAGCCTTCCTGATGCTGTTGGACATCCTTCTTGTCAAGCCCTCAGCCGGTAACAAAACTCCTTCCACCAGCCATGTTCAGCGACAAAGTTGAAAAACCCATGTTGAGGTGCACAATGCTGTTGTCCGTGACACTAAGCCGAGCGAGAGCAACATTATTGAGCAGCTTGGCATGATTACTTGGGTCATCAGCACTGATGCGAGCGATTATTGCATCCAAGTACGGGACCTTTGTTCAAGACCTTGGAGGTATTGCAGGCAGGCCTTCACTTCTCAGAACCGACATTGCTGCAATGACACCACCTTTGCGTGTGAGCTGTTTCCAAAACCTGTATTCTGTTCAGCATGGTGTTTGAACCTGCAGTTGGCCATGCAGGCTCGCGTGCCATCCTTGGAGGTGGGCGGCACTTGCATGCTTCACGCTGCCAGTGAGTTCATCCTCGTGGTGACGGAACATCAGCATGACTACAAAGTTGGCCAATGTTTTGGGAATAGCTAACCAGCGGTCGTGCAGGCCATGCTGGTTTCTGGCTGGCCGCTCTTCGGATTGTGGCTGGCCAGCACTGCTGGAACGGTCTTCTGTACTGAGATTGGTTTGCTGCGATCTGAGGCTGGCCATCTTGCAGGAGGGACTTTTTGGGCTGGGCCGCCTGGCGGCGCAGACGTTGCTGGTTTGCAGTCTTGACGGTTACTGATCTCAGCTTTCCTTTCGTGACGTCATGACACGGTCACAGCGCCAAGGCCGTCCTTGATTCGACAGTGGGGCACGATGGGAGAAGTCTGCAAGGACCTTTGAGTGGCATTCAAGATCATGCGGTTTGGGCATAAGCAGAGAAAGGAAGGTAGTATGCTCATGGCCAACTCAAGCACAAGCCTTCAATTCCAGGATGGCTTACCTGCGATTAATTCTTTTGGTGCTTGTTGGCCATGCGCCGAACCTCCCTTTGGCTCCAAAGCCAGGGTGCTTTCGACCTTTTGGAACTTCACTTGACCCTTAGTGGCAGTAGCCTCAAAACTTGGGATTTCGTCCAAGTTCTGAAGCGTTTGCTCAGCTTGGCCGCGATGTGTTTTTCTTGGTTGAGCGGTTGCACAGCTTTGAGGTCCAGGATTGTAATGTGGCTTTCGGGCTGTATGTTTTCACTGCTTTTTGATATTTTTCCTGCTCAAAAACGTGCTAGCTGGGCCCTGGGAGGATTGAGTACACCTCGGAGGTCCGTTCTAGTCCATGTTTGTTTTTAGTTTAGATTTATTCTTTGCCATTTCTTTGTTTCGTGTGGGCTTGAATTTGTTGGCCATCAATCCGTTAAGAGTTTAGTCTCTGGAAGCATTTTCAGTGGCTGGGAAGCAGGTCCTGTGGCGAAGGGATTAGCTCACTTCTTTTGCAGGCTTTCAGTCCAAGGCAAGCTTGTGCCTGGATCTTTCGAGTTTTTTGTGAAGCGTTGGTCATCTCTATCTGCTTTTGTGAATTGGGCGTTTGTGCGCATGACTCTGCGCATCGCACGCGGTACGTTGCATGCTAGTCCAACTTGGCAGCTGGCAATTCTTTTCGTCCTGATTCTGAACTTGTCAGTTTAAACCATGCTGCAGGTGCAACCGCAGAACGCACTGTGTGCAAGACCCGTTGCAGGATGCATTTTCAGCCACATTTCTTCAGAAACGTCTTTGGGAAGGGTAATCTGCGTAGTGCAGGAGGCTCGGCCGTTGCACGCGGCTTTGCAGACTTGGCTGGATGCAGTCCCTTCTGCGGAAGAAGCGGTGAGCCTAAGCTGAATAACGCTACTCGACCTTTCACCTTTCATTCATCTTTGGCATACTGATGTGAGCACTCATGTGAACTTGTGTGGCAAAGGCCGGCGCTTTCACCCTTAACTCGACTTGAAGCCCTTCGATTGCGTCAGAAGTTGGCCGCATCGCCTGGCTTGTGCTCCGAGGATCCAGGTGCGGGTCAGGAAAAATCACAAGTACTGACGGTCCAGAGAATGGTGAAGGCACTGGCGCTGCGGCACAAATGCTGTCCAGCGGGCTCTTCAGCGAGGGCTCTGTTTCACTTTGGAATGGAACAGGCCGGGACTGGAAGTGCATGAACCTGCTCTTCAAGATGCGCTTATCATCCCCTACCGCTGGCAGTTTTGCAGGCTGGAAGCATGAGTTCGGCAAGCTGCGACGAATGATTCTTGACTTGTGGCGATGATATGTTCTGGTCATTGCCCATGGGATTGTCTTGTGTAGAACGTGGTCTTGAGTCGTGCTTTGCCAGAGTTGCCCTGTAAGTGTGGCGCTATTTGTTTAAGGATGACCGCTTCCACCTTCCCTGTTTTATGTTCCAAGGATGGACAAGGCTTTTCAGACGGTATCCTGGGGCAGACTGATATTTACAGGCCTCGCCCGCTGCCTAGATGCCTAGGTTATGATGCTTTGGGTCAGTGCTATTTAGGCTCGACATGCCACATGCTGTCACATGCTCATCATATCTACGGTGCTGGGTCGTCCTCGCAGGCTGGCCTCTGCTGGCTTTGCTTCACCGTCTTCAAGAGGCCTATGTCCGCGAGGCCAGACATTGAGTTTGATTGCTCTACGCTGTTCGGGGAGCTTTCTCAAGCCTTAACTGTAGAAGCGTCACGTTGTGTGAGGCGCTGTGCAGCCGCGTTGAGAGGCAGGATGGCAGTCGGCTGCGGGCCCCAAGCATCATTTGGAGCTGGTGCATGTCAATCTGTGCAGGTATGCTTACGCCATTCCAAGCAGGGCAGACCCAAAGAGCGTGTGGGTTTGTGTGCGACGTGCTAATGATGTTGCGGCTTGCCTCTAAGACAGCATGATGATGCCAGGCTTTGCATTTGTCAAAATCAATAATCAGGCAGCTTTTGATGATTTTTGCTTAGCGGGGGCTAGCCAAGGTCTATGAGAGATGGCGCATGCAAGGATTCTTTCCAGATTGCTTCCTGATTGTTCAAACTGTCCGGGATGCCTTGCCGCTTGCCTGGTCCATGGATGCCCTGTTTGTCAGAAGCAAGTTTCCTGTGATCAGAGAATTTGGGCAAGGGACTGCGCTGATCAATGAAAGGCTCTTGAGATGTCTGGCCTGACAGAGAGGTGCCTGAGAAAAGATGGGGCTTCAACTAAGGCCTGCTGGTTGTCCAGTGCTGGACGTAGGCGTGGTGTTTGGAAGAGTGGCCTTGGACCACTGTCTTTAACCAGTCCCTGAAGCCAGGTGCCAACCTTGGTGGATGTGCGCTGATGTTAGCGAAGGCAGGGATGTTGGTTTCCACGGATTCATATCATGAGCAGTTCACAAAGGGGTCATGGCTGGGATTCAGGAGAGCTTGTGCTAAAAAGGGGCCAGTGAAGATATGATTGAGCCAAGCAACATGTGCTCTGTTGCCCAAGTGGTGCTGCGCCACCATCGATTGAATTCAAATCTCGTCCTGAATCTGCGTCCTGAGTGCAATCTAGTTTGGCCGGACTTTGGAGGACGGGCACCCTGTGCTGGCGTTTGAGCCAGTGCCTGTGCTGGCTGGGCTCCTGCGCGCATCAGTTGAGAGAAACAGCCCCTTGGATGCTAAAAGGCTCGCCGGACTACCACTTATGCGCCAATTGAGCAGGTTTGATGAATGTGGAGGTGGTGGAAGCAGCTGTGAGCCGAACTTTGGGAAGCGGATCCTTGCAGTGCACCACTGGGCACAGCGCCACATGTCAGGTTCTTCCGTCACTTCGGCAGCATGAGCACAAAGTGCGGTACTTTCCTAAGAAGAGCTGTTGTGCTCAGGACGCATGCTGTTTCTGGCACCAATGTGACTACTGTGCCTTGCCTCAAGACGCAGACTTGTCCTTCATAGCGCAGCCATGTGTGGATGCATTATACCATCATGCAGTTGAGGACTCACTTGATTCAATTCTTCACGCACGTGGATGGTCACATCCCTGTGCTATGAAGATAGATGTGGAGGGCTCTGAGCTTGAGGTCGTACAAGGCATCTAGCTTTTTGCAATGGCTGATGCGTACGCAAGCTTAGCTTTTTCTGTACCTAGTCTGCTAGGTGCTGCGCACACCTTGTCGGGATGGCCACACATTTTCCTAGAGCTGCATCCCTATGAGCTGCGGTACCGCGGTGCTTCCAGCTCCTAGGCATCAAACGCGAGCTTCAACCGCCACAACACTACGCTTCCTGTGGTCCAGTTGCCACCGTCCACAATGAGGTGCAGACACATTTGACTTGCTCCTGCACATGGGCTACAACATGTTTGAAAGCCAGCCCCTGAGTTGCGGTGAGCTGCCTCTACGGCCGAATTGCTTGAATACACACTAGGCCTACATGCGGTCCCAAAGCACTTTGACAGTTCTGTCGCCTGAGGTCCTTCCTGCAGTTCCAAAGTCAGTCCTGCAGAGAAACCTTGGGCAGGGTGTCTCGTTTTAAGTGGCTGCAGCTCTGCCGTTCCATCTGAAAACTATCTCAGGAACGGCACCTATTCCGGTGCTCGCTGGGTTGAGGGCAGCCCAGTTGCTGGTGTTCGCCTGCCGCCCGTTGATGGCCACTGTGAATGCGACTTTGGGCCGCAACTCAGCAACTGCGTGACCCAACCCCCGAACCCAATGAAGCTTTTTAGATGTCCTGGCCATGCCACGCAAAATACGTTCCTGTTGGATGTAGGGTTGTAGACAGTATCAGTACTTCGTTTCAGACTAAAAGCATTTAGCACGCTTGCAGCTGGGATTTTGGCATTCTCGGTAACACATAACCTTGGATGCCCGCTGGCTGCGTCCTACTCAAGATCATTCAGCTTTGCCAGTCTGATGCAGTCGTTGCCATTTCAGGGCGGTGCAGCTCAGAATGCGAAATCAACACCCAATTTGTCTTTGCTTGTGTTTGCGGTGCCAGACCTGAGCACAAGGAACGCGAATGCCATCTTCGACTACTGCCAGCTAGTGGTGCGCTCCTCATTACAGAATCAGCCAGGCAGAGGGTTCCCAACTGACTGAGACAAAGTTGGGCAGGTCGGCTCAGTGGTAACTGCCGATGCTGGGACTTTGACGAAGCTTCCGGCAATTGCGACTCGATTCATTCATCTCCCAACTCTGTTTGAATGCAGCAGTTGCTGCGTTTAGACATTCCCGAGCATTGTTAGCAGACAAAGCAGCCGAGGTATGCTGTACTCCAGCTGCTTGTCTGAGATACTTTATGTGATGAAGAAATGCCGGGTATAATGATCAGAGTGTCCGGAAAGCAGCACGTTCTTTCCTGCTTGCATTGCTCTCAGAGACCTGGATGTCAGGGCTTCTGTAATAGTATATCTGCTTGGTAAACTTCTTGGCGGGTGTAGGGCAGAACTTCCGCTTCTTCTGAGTTTACATGGGCATCGCCTGAAAACCCCACGAAGGCATTTTTATATAAAACGACCACGGATGGCTCAAAAGACCTTCCGCGAAAGGTGGCGATGGTGTGCGCNNCTTTGGATTTCGCGAAAGGAGTATCGTAAACTATAGCTCCCTTACTTACTTTACAACACATTTCTCTTCCTTAAATGGAAATCCTAGCTATTATTATGGACTTGGAGGGCCCCTTTAAGAGTTCAGGGCTTTGCTTTTTGCTTCAAACATGCTTCCGCGAAAGCTCGCGATGGGGTGCGCGAAAGAAACTTTGGATTTCCGCGAAGGGGTCATTTTGTTGTGAAGGTAATTTTGGGCAACGCCCACATCTGCCAGCAGACAGCGTACACTTAGCACACATGCGCCATGGTCCCCGAAACATTAGTAACATGCAAGCGCTTTTCGGCTTCAGCTCAATGATTTGGATGGTCCCACGACTAAGCATCCGATTCTGACATGCTTCGGACGGCAGGAGACCACAGCTCATGTTGAAACATGCCACTTATGAACCGTGCCACTCCATTCCATTTTTCCTCCTCCGCCTCCTCCTTCCAACGCCAGAAAGTGCAAACATTTGGCTACCCAAGGCTGCGGCAGAGGCTTTGGCTCGCTGTCAGCAGCAAGGGGTTGGTGGGCTGGCGAGCTGACCGGCAACTGGCACATCTGGCGGGAAAAAAGGATGCGCATCTCAATGCTTCAAGGATCTTCAAGGTTTTCTAGTGTCCCATAGTTTCCCTTACGATTTCAGAGTGCCAGGGTGCGAGGTCCTTCGACGAGCCTGGAAAAACCCTCAACGGCTTGCCCAGACCCCTCAGACCGCTAACGCCGCGTGTATGGCACTGCGATTTGGCTCAATGCCTTTAGTGCTGTTAACGAGCGGACCTTTGGGGAGCATTGTGTTTTCCCAATGGGCAGGACCTGTTCTGTCTTTCTCGACAGCTGCCTTTCAAGCGATCTAAGTTCACAGGAGCTTCAGCTTCAATGTTGTGGCGGCCAGCACAGTGCTGGGGAGCCTCTTCCTCGTAATTGTCTTTGAGAGCCAGATCAAGGAGTTCTTAATGCCCGCGCACGAGGCTACATATTGTGAGCACCTGCTGCAATCAGACGTCCGTCTGCCAATGTGCCTTTCCAGGCCTTGGAGGGAAGCTGGTTTGCAAAGCTGATGCTGTTGGTGCTGCTCAGCAAGGTGCCTGACGGGCTGATCAGCACGTAGAGAGAGTGGAAGCGACGTTTGCAGGCACCAGAGCCCAGTCCTCTTGTGATATTACTGGCTGCCATCATGGTCTGGTCTCCGCCAGAGAAGCTGTGGTGTCTTTGATTGCAATGGTTCATTGATAGTGTACATAGCGCGTTCTAAGCACAGAGGGCCCTTAGATGCCCTCATCAGTCTAGTCAAAGCAGGATAATTTTGTCTTGTGTTGATTTTAGGCTCAGCGTTGTGGAGCTGATGCCCAAACTGGTGGAGAGCTCATACATCTGGCCGAGTTGCAGCATCAGCTATCAGTGGACCGGTAGCCGAGGCGATCCCCAGCGCCGGTGCCTAAGATGACTATGCCTGCGCGCCTTTCACGAAGCTGGTCGAAGGTAGACCCCACCGGACAGGGGGTGACTGTGGCACTGGCCTTGTGGGCAGAGTCCTTAGTTTGCACCTGCTCTGTCGGCAATGGCTGCACCCAATCCAAGTTGTGTTCGGCTGAGTTTAAGTGAGCAGCGAATGGCACCATTATTGCCGTGCGTGGTTGCATGCACAAACTCGCATAAATAAGCTGTGCCGTGCAATAGCACAGCAACATTCGTGATGCCCGGTCCAAACCAGGCCATGTTTGTGCTGACCTACTTCACCAACGGGACCCTGTTACTCTCAGCCTGCAGCTGAGAAAATTGCACCGCAGTACAAAAAGCTGATGTCATAGTTCAGCACGAGGTGGAAACGTTTTTTCCGCAGCTGGTGGACGGGTATCGCATCCAGACGCTGAAGCCTATCTGACAGTTTTATGTTTTGCTTGGTGCTGGTCCCTGGCAGGCAATCCTCACATATGCCAGGTCCTCGAGTAGACCGTCCATGCTGACGCTGTGGAAAAATCTGGCAAGGACAAGCTTCATTGTCCCCCGCCAGTGTGAATTTCAGTATGTTGAAGGGTGTGACTGCGGATACTCGTCCATCGTCATTGCAGCTCCCACTTTGCTGAAGATGGGATGATGAACAGCACAACTCATCCGTCGTGAGGTTTTGCCCTTGTTGCTGTTCGCCTTGATTCCAATGTGGCAGCGACTACGCTGCTCCACTGCAAGCATGCTTGGGTTGGCTGAGGAAGCTGCAGCAGTAAGTGCTAGTGTTGCGGATGAAGATGTTGGATAAGCTATTCAACAATGCAGCACGACATTTAGTCTGACTGCTGTTCAAGGAATGCCTGCGTCCCTACCTGGACCATGGGAGATGTTCATTCATATAGGAGCCGAGAGTGACACCATCAGCAACCCAATCGTCCCACTGTGTTATGCCTAGCCGCGTTTGTACAGGATTTGGGGTCCTTGTGAACGAGGTGCGAGTGGCGAGTGTGCTTCGGAGATTTGCCAGACTCGCATGGATCAAATCAATGGCAGGTGCTGTTCTTCTATGGCCACTGGCTAATGCATGCCAACAAGTACCTGTACAGGCTTGCTCAAGCTTGTCATGTTGATGATAGTGCTTGTTGCTTGTTGTGCAAAAGGTTTTCAAAAGGTAAAACCTCGCGAAGATTTGTAAAATCGTTGCTGACACACGGTGGAAGGGTACAGTTGCGGGCAAGGGGAGGAAGCAGCTCATAGAATTCAATTGGGGGGTGTTGCTGGGCATAGGTTGTTCGATCCTCAGCTTCCACGAGAGCTGGTCCGAAGACAGAGCCTCCTTGTGCCAAAACATGTTCACAGGTTGAGAAAGAGTGAACACATAATCGAACCAGTCATGGGGGAGGTTCGATGTGAGGGGCAGTTGGCCTATGGAAAGCATTGTCAACCGTACCAAGAAAGACCTTTGACTTAAGGGTTCTCGTCTTCCAGAGAAATTCCAGGGTATCTCTCCTTGCTCAGATTCTTCTGCAGCAGTGGGTGTCCGCTGACATGTGAAATTTTGTGTGAGGCATATCCACAAGATCCATCATGAGTTCAAGGCTGGGAATGTTCTTGACATGAAGCATTGGAGTGGATATCCATGTTTCTGTTTTCAGTCATTTGCTGCTTTCCGCCCACACACTTGGCAATTCATGCATTGCCATGCTGTCACGGTGTCGCAGAATGCCACTTAGGTCTTGTCAAAACTTTGATGGCAACTTAAAACATGATTGCCATACATTTTTGTGTGGAGGAGCTTTCAAAAGAGTCGAGAAGACAGTTCAGAGCTGGCTGAAATGGCATTGGACAGGTCTCCGTGGAAAGATCATAAACTGAAGTTTGTTGTGTGGATTGGGGAGCCGGAACGTGAGCGAGGCTGCTTTCCCGCTAGATCCTACCAGTGGTTGGCTGGGCATATGTCTCCTGTGCCATTGTGTCTGCCTCATCGCTTTTGATGCTTTTGCGTCCACACATGTCAGCAGAGAGACTGAGAGAATTGAGAATCTAAGACTTTCGAAGCTCCAGTTACTGTACGCGAGCGTCTCAGAGACGAACTCCTACAAGAAAGCGTGTGTGATGTACAAGTAGCCGGAATTGAATAGACAGGTTCCAATCAGGGGATCTGGTGCAGTATGATAACAATATGAGAGAGAGCATAAGTCATAGAGATCATAGACGAAAACAGCTGGACTAGGCCAGACACAGGCACAGTGTGATACCTTTTGATGTGTGACCATCGGGGACTAGTGACAAGCTGTTGTACCCATGCTTTGGGGGCCAGGAGTTCAGCAGGAAAACGTTCCACGGATGGATGGCCGATATTTCTTCGGGTGCAGTGGAGCTTTTGTTGCCTTGGTAGTGAAGCGTGTGAAAGGAGGCCGTGAACTTGGGGCTCCCATTTAGTCATTTAGTCTCACAGCCGGATAGAGTAGAAAAGACAAGGAAAGGGAAACCAGCAAACATCGTAAAAGGAACACATCACTGGACCTTGAGGAATTGCTTTTCCTCCATTCGTGGGCCCTCCTCGGTAATCTGACCAGACGACACACTGCCCACAGGGCTTGGGGCTTAGCCCTGGCATAGTTCGGCTATGCACTGCCCGCAGAATCGAAGAAGAATCAGAAGAATCAGAAGAAGAAGAAGAAGAAGGAGTCGAGAGCTGGCATCAGCGGAGTTTCGCAGGTAAGCTTGTCATTTGCACAACTGACGGCAAAGATCCTCAGAATCTGAACTATTCCCACCCCAAGCTCTTGACCAAGTCTGCAGACCGCTTTGAAGCCTAGCTGCAAACTCCTTAATTGCTCGAATCCCTAAATCACAACTTTCATGCTGTTCTCATACCCACGTTCCTAGAGGCCTCAAATAACTCAACATGCATGCCTCTTTCGAGTATGCAGTTCCCATTGCACCGAGTATATTGCAAACCCCACTAGCTGAAAGCTACAGTTGGCCCTGAATGCCCCAACGCGAAACCCAATTGTTGCTGAAGCACTTAACTGCAAATTGATGCATGAATGTGTCACAGTGTGACAGGGGTCCCGCAAGCATCATCGGCAGCAGCCTCGTGTGCCACATCTCCCTCTATGATAACACGTCCAGAATGTGGGCTAGTTCTGTCGATTCTTCATTCATCATGCAGACTGTCTGACTCGGGACTTCTGCTATCAGACAAGTGAGATATGTATTTCACAACCACTACCCTGTTGTTTGAGCTACCGAAGGCTCCCTCCAAGCGCGTCCGTTTTTGATGCCTCACCTTCTTCTCCATTTCGTCCTTTCGCAGCAACCCTATGCTTATACTCTTTTGCCTCCAGACTTATGCAGGCCTTGAAAGCTCTTTCAGTCTGGCCTTGCTTGCTGACCTTAAGTTTCAATCAACGGCAGCGAGCTCTCAATCTCCATTCCAACCCCCACCAAGAGTTTTCAAGGATGTGCCCATGTAACGCTGTGCTCCATTGTGTGGAGCGTTGTGAATAGCCAGCCTGGTCCAGTTTCATGAACACACTTGCAATACTGTTGGCATGTCGGTGAGGCACCAATGGGACTAGCGGCAATCTACTGCCACCCTGTTGAATTCTTCCTCTCCGATCTCATGTCGCTGTCTCAGCATTGCCGTGCTCGTGCATAGGTGTGCAGATTTGTAGCCGTAGAAAACAGGTGGATTGAGGCTTCGTTCACGCCAGGGCAAGTTGCTTCGCTCAAGGCCACTCGGAGCGGGCTTGTTAGCTGTTCGGGCGAATGCCTTCACTGGCGTGCAGCACTGAGACTTTGACTGGCTCGCACCAGGATGTAGCGGCTCCCTTGTCACTGCGGTACCGAGGTAGTTTGGATGGCGTTTGCCGTCATGGCGACGCAGACGCATCACTGTGGCATCAGATGGCCTTGGATAGATTTCTTCTCTTTCCAGGCACTGCAAGTACATGCCTTTTTGTGTAGCCGAAAATTTTTCTGCAATTCTCAGCAAAGCCCAGAGCACGCTAAGAGCATGCTAAGCTGCTAGGCCGAGGCACAGCCAAACTTCCACGACTTTCATCATGTGCCTGCTTGGCATTCAGCGGTTGATTCCTGCTCAGTTTTAACTTCGGGTGAAATTTGTGTTTCATCGCAAACCCAGGAAAAGTTCAACGTCAACTACGGCGCCATGGGCTGGCTTGATGATTTGCATGGCACATCCTGGGACTGGAAGAAAGATTTCTGGGGAAGACGTGGCGCAGATCAGCCTGCAGCAGCGAAGGCTGCCTAGGCCAGGGAGCTCCAAATTTCAACATGAATCCTGCTGCATGAAAACTGTGCTTCTCTGTTCCAATGGCGTGGTCTGTCCCCCAGTGATACCACACGACAAGACAAAGAACCTGCTCATAACATCCTTACCATTGTCACCACCATCACACCACAAGCAGCAGAAGAAGTTGTCATGTTTGATGATTTCGTACACATGTGTGCCCCGCCAGGGCTGGAGCGTGCCGTGCCCACTCTGCACCCCAACGCTCCGTTGCGGCAGTTTCACCAAAATGTGCTGGCATGTAGCAGCACACAGATTCCGTGTCGCCTCCCAGGCAGACTGGAGAAATTTGTTGGCTGTAAGCTTAATCATTGTTCGAGCCAAGTTAGAGGCAGTTGCCTGGTCGGCTTGGCTCACGCGCCTTCTGCAAGAAGATTGCAGAGACAAAATCTTTTGCATTTGCCATGGCCTGAGTGCGGCGGGGAAAATCAATGTTTCGTGCCCAAGGCTGAACCTACTCACGCACACAGGGGCTTTGACTGTTGGAATCTTCACTCTCACTGAATGAGAGTCAAGCTGGTGCATCTCGATGCCGTTCGTCTCCATGAAGCGTGCGCGGATGGATCCAAGCATGTGATCCTTGCTCCAGATGCTACACAACAGTTTGGTCAATCAACCACTCAGGGCAACCACTGAAAACGTGCGTTGTTTGGAGCTGCCGCCTGCTCGACCTGCCCGAACTAACTACAGTCGCATTTGGAGTGATCGCTTCGTTGGCATTGCGTACGTGGGACCAGGCACTGCGCTTGAGGGCGAAAGAAGCCAGCAGGGAAATCTGGATGTTGAGCTGTTATTTGGTGGAGTAGTTCTTCTGTCTCCTGAGGCTTGGTTGTTGGCACAAGGAGTCTCCGACGTCGTTGCAGCAGGCGGTGCCTGTCTGAGGGAAAAAGGCCGGGGATCCTTCCGCACTTGTTGCAGTGGCATGTGGTGGCATGCGTAAATCTCGTGCTTCAGGTATGCTATCCAGGAGATTGAAGGCAAAGGTCTTGGCATCATTGCAAACTTGACACTGGAGGCTGGAGAGTTAATCTTCGCCGAGATTCCTCAGCTGACTTTCGAAACGGATTCAAGGCAGAGCATGCAGCGAGTGAAGGAACAGTTCACGCAGCTGCCAGACAAAGTGCAAGAGGACATCATGGGTTTGGAGGATGCCTGGTCTTCAAATGGACGCAAATCCCTTCGCGGAATCATCGAGACGAACGGAATAGAGTGCGAGACTGCGGGGCCCAGCACGAACATGAAGGCAGTGTGCTTAAGCCTGAGTCGATTAAACCATTCTTGCAATGCCAACTGCGATTACAGTTGGAATCAGCGAGACAGTCAGATGGAAGTATATGCCCAAACCACCATATGTGAGGGTGAAGAGCTGAGCATTTCTTACATCGACCTCCGAGAGCCACGGCAAGTGCGGCAGCAGCTGCTGCAGGACAACTGGCAGTTTCGCTGCAGCTGCAGCGTTTGCCTGATGCGAGCACACAGTGGCAGTGACAAGAGAAGACTACGAATGGGAGAGCTGTCTGCCTTGCTTTACTCGAACAGAAATTCGAGCAAGAAACTTCGCATTGCCAAGAAGCTGCTCAAGCTTTACAGAGACGAAGAGTTCGCAATGAAGCTTGGAAAATGCTCTTATCACCTTTTTAGCTTCTGGCTACGTTGCACCACCACTAGTGTCGTTATGCCAATGTCAAGCCTTCTTGAAGGAAGAGCTACAAGCTGGAAGCTTGCAACTTCGGCTATGAAGCCGCATTGGAACTGGAGGACTCTGAAGCTGCACCGCGATTTGCGAAGCTTGGGCTCCGATGTGCCTTGATATGTGGGGGTCGACCAAACGCAGTATGTAGCTAAGTACTCTCAGGGTAGACGCCCTGAGGTCATGGACGCTACCACGATGCTACCAAGGAGCATCTTTTGAAAGCTTTGGAATTTTGATAAATGACTAGGTCTTAGATCCGGAAGCTTGCATATGATGCCGAAACCTGGGCTCCGTCTGTGTAAGCAGTGCCGGAAATTTCAATGATGTCCGCTAAAGCTATGAGACATCAATGCTGCATGAATCTCCCCGCCATTTTCAGCACGCGCAGACGCATGAGACGTGTGAAGTAGCAAACATAGCACGAGAGGAGTGGATGGATGCCGTGCAGGCTTGGGCAAGCTGACGCATGGCCACCTGGCCATCTGACGCAAGAAGCACAGGTCCTGAGGTCCTGAACTACAACCTGGCAACCACAAGCTGGACTCTGCAAGCAGCGCCGCCTGGCTTGTGTCTCTCCCCCCAGATGCAGACTGCTGGAGCCAGAGGATCATCAAGTTTTGAAGCTGTTCGCCACCAGGTTCTCCGCACTCCTGCTGTACCAACGTGCTAGAGGTCGTGGAGCAATTGGAGCAAGAGATGTCCTGCAGCCAGCCACCCGAAGGCCTACAACAGTGACAAGCGCGGAAAGCGGCACGGAAACGGCAGAAACAGCAGATCATGAGTCATCAACATGGTTCCAGAGTCTGGTAATGCTTGCCAGCTGATTCCCAAGCAAGTGCCGCGCAATGTGCTTTGGCTCAAGGTAACTGTGGAACGTAGAGGCCACCTGGTAGGCATCCGAAGGTGCTGGACTGAGGGCAAGCAAGTTTGCATGGGCTCGGGGCTGCTGATGCCCAGGCATGATGTCAAGCCGGGTGGTGTTGCTTGCGCTGCTCAGCACAGCAGCATGGCGCCTGGAAACAAACCTGCGTGCATCTGTGGTCAGCCATAGGGCAGACGTTCGTTTTTTTCTTGCCATTCTTATCAGGCGCATGCAGTCACTCCTCGCTTCGACGAGGTCCAATCCACAAGTCATGGCTGGCCAACTGCCCAAGCCCAGCGTAATCCTTGGAGTGACAACCAGGCATCCTTGCATCAGCAGATGCGGGAAATGATGACCCAGGAGCCCGTCATGGAGACCCAGAAGCTCAGGCATGTGTGGGTCTCCCGTTGCGGATTCTCCTGTTTGTGTCATTCCCCTTGGCCAAGTCCTGTGCAACTAAGAAATCTGCCGTTACAAACCTTGTATTTGTTGTAGCCTTGGCTTGAGCATAAGAAAGAGGCAATCAATAATCAGATTTGAGGACTTCGGTCAGGAGAGTGCATGGCAAGCAAAAACCCGCAAAAGCAACTAAGATCCCCAAAAGCATTGCGCTCCGCGTATCGAAGATTTTTGTCCCATGCTTTCAGGCAGGACGATGCAAAATGACAATCCCAAGCTGAGCACAAAGACCTACGAAGCGGTAGAGACTCCCGACCAGCAGTACATCCGCCCATGTGCTGCTGTGTGATTGAGGCGGCCTCCTGCTCACAGCAGTGAGCTGTTTTCACCATTCTTTCATAAAGGTGCTGCGCGCCTCGATGTTTTCTGTTTGCAGTCCCTTTTACTTCTCCAGTGAATTTCAGACCGGAGCTGGATGAAAGTTGTGCGTCATGGCTGCCGCAGCACCCTCCCCCCGTCCTGGGGATCATTGTCTGCTTTTCAATGACCTTTTGGCTCCGCCGGGCGCTAAACATGTAGTGCTCCGCATCGATCCCAGCAGTGACGGCTATGTTCGCATCATGGGCAGTGGAAGAGGAAGCAGGATATGGCGTCACTTCCTCACATGGCCTCAGGGACCCTCAGGGCGCCGCTGGACGTGGCGTCGGAAGCTAGCCCGGCGTCGCGAATACACAGAAGTCACATGGCATTACCGGAGTGGCGTCAGAGCTCGGCGTCAATAGCTCACGTGGCGTCACAATGCGGCGTCAGGAGCCGCGAATTCAAGCGGCGTCACTTGACTGGCGTCAGCGCGTGGCGTAAGCGGTCAGGGGCCTCCTGGCACATGTCTTCATAACGTGTCTGCGGTCTTCGGTGGAAATGCGCACCCCCACAAACGACCCCCCTGATTGATCTTTTAGTTAAGGCCGCCCTGATGTCGAAGGATTTGTCTGACAACCCAACGGAAGCGTAGAGGTTCAAGAACATAGAGAAAACCTGGGTTTGAGTGCATTCCGAGAGCTAGGAGCAGGTGTGTCTGCACTGACGGGTTTGAAGTTAGACTTTTTTTGAGTCCCCTGCACCCGCAGTCTGAGTCGCGAAAGTGCCGACATGGACGACGAAGATCCCTACATGCAGGCCTGAAGCGGAAGTGGCAGCATGATTGCAATGACTCGCGGTGTCAAATGTGGTCAAGCAGGAAGCTGCGGAGGGACTCTCAAAGGCATTGGGCCCAGGATGGAACAAGCAGCTCCTGGAGGCTCAGACCCCCTCGCCGCGTATTGTGCTCTGGCAAGTGTAGCGGCCTATCTCAGCGAGGCTGATGCCGACAGGAAGACGCAGGCTCTTTTCAAGGCCTTACGGCCATGTGTTTTGTATTGACACCGTATCGCTCTTTTGGAGAGCTGTGCAGTGAACCGACCTTGCAGGGCATCTCTGGATCCACCAGCTTGCGCGGCCTCCAGGACGTGATGGGATCCCTCCGATGAGCGCACAGCGGACTGACCAGGAGAAAAAGCTGTCAGGAAGATGACGTTTGTTTTGTTTTCCTTTCAGTTCTTAGGATGGTTGAGAGACTATCCGCCATAGTCTCAAACAAGCAGCACGCGTCCTGACGCAATAATTCGTATGGCGTCGTTTTGTCAGAGCCTGCAGTGAAACGCTTCGTTCTTTGGTCGTTTGTTTTGCTACCTGTCAATAAGTGTGGCAGCATTCAATGGTCTGTCATAGTGTATCGAGCTGGTTTGCTTGCAGATCCCTGCTTCATCAGTTATGGCGCGAGAATAGCGAGATATGTAGAAGGCTAGCAAGCCGCATACCAGGTCCTCGCAGGGCCATGTTGGCCATGTCGTATGGGCCTGTATCAGACAGAGCACATTTCAGAGCAGAACCATATGCCGTCGGTGCACCACTTGGCTTATCTGCTGCTGCACCAGCAGGCGAGGTTTGTCAGTTTTTCGTGAAGACAGGTTGGTGCAAGTGGGGTGATGGATGCAGACACGCGCATATACCAGGACCTGATACTCCAAACGGAGGCAGGCCTGCGGGTCCACCTGGCAAACCCGGAGAAAAAACTGGTGAGGTTTGTCAATTTTTCTCCAAAGCAGGCTGGTGCAAATATGGCGACCAATGCAGACATGAGCACATTCCTGGACTGACCGCTGGAAAGCCCCCACTAGACCCTACAGAACCTTGCAAGTTCTTCGCAAAGGCTGGCTGGTGCCAGTTCGGCGACAGCTGTAGATATCAGCATATTCCTGGTCCAGAAGCTGGAAACGGCCAGGGTTTAGGGCCTTTGCCTGATGGTCCCCAAGGCTTGAGCCTTGAACCAGGCCTCCAGGCTACTGGCGAGTCATGCCAGTTCTTTGCAAAGGCAGGATGGTGTAAATATGGGGCTGCCTGCCGCTTTGCTCATGTCCTGCCACCAGACACGCAGCTACAGCCAGCAGCAAAGTCTGGAGAGGTTTGCCAGTTTTTTTCTAAGTCGGGGTGGTGCAAATACGGCGATCAGTGCAAACACGAGCATCTGGGTGGACCTCCCGCACCTCCAGATCAACTTGGGGGTGGAGGAGAGACCTGCAAGTTCTTTGCTAAGGCAGGATGGTGCCAGTTTGGCGACAGCTGCCGGTATCAGCACATGCCAGGTCCAGCAATGGGATGCGGAGGATGCGGGCCAACGGGTCCTGGATCTCCTGGGCCTGGGAGCTATGGCCCAGGCCCCTTCCATGGCTTTGCTCCAAAAGGCCTCCAAAACTTCTCCCAGCAACCAGTTAGAGCGTTATCTGCTGCAGAGCAAGAGGCTGCTGCTGCAGAGTTAATCAACTCTCCTGGAATGCAGAGAGCTGAGTCAATAGGACTTCAGCTTTCAGACGAAGCGGTTAAGGCACTTCTCACAATTCCATCTTCACATGCCTCTGAGCTATTGGAAACTGTTTCAGAGAAGCATACAACGCTTAGAGACCCCTCAAACTATGTGGTCTCAACTATCGCGAAAGGTTACGTTCCCAAGCTTGCGCTCTAACTCCAGAATGAGCGCCGTGGCCATAAGAGCCGTTGTGTCTGAGTTATTGTTAAGCACACGGCCATGGGCTGGAAGCGTGTCACAAAAACTTGATCGCGTGCGCTTGTCTAGCGCATCCACCTCCTTCGGCTGCCGTCATCTGAAAGCTTCTGCGTGGTCAGACGCGGAGGTCTGCAATGCATTACCAAGCATGCTGCGGGTGTGAGCCTTTGGTGAAGCCCGGGTGCTTTTAGGTATTTGCAACGTGTGGATTGGCTCAGCCAGAGCACACTGAAGAAAGTGCAAGGATACATGATGACCTAGAGGGCGTTGAATGCTCCGTTCAGACTGCCTTACACAAGCATTGCCATCGGCTGGGGACATGATTTAGCATGGGCCGGTGCCGTCACATGCGCAATGCCTTGGCCCCCCTGAGTTTCCGCACGACTCTCAGTTGTTGTGGGTTATGGCATCTGATCATCAGCTCTTCATGGTGCCCTCGCTTGCGTTAGGTCATGCTCCCGAAGCTTGACGTGCATGGTGGCAGAGGGCTCCCACAGGAGACACTCGTAGAAATTGTGCAGTTGTAAAGTGCCGGCATGATGGCTCTCTGCTTCAAGCATATGCACAGCATCCATCCGAATCTGAAACTGCTGAGTTGACGAACGCCCTTGTTGCCAGGAGCCGCCCAAAGTCTCGAGTAGCGAGGCCCGACATGGTCTTTCCTGATGTTTTTGCGCCTTTGATCGGACTGCAGAACGTGCTGGCGCTTCCACGCCTGCGTCTGCTTCGCCAGGTCGGCAGGGAGCATGGTCGAGTTATGCAAACAAATTTCAGCCCTTTGGCAGCTGTGAGCGCATAGGTGGGCAGCCAAGATGGCCCCCCGCGAGGCCGTCTAGAAGTCTGAAGCACAAGAGTCTGGACATAACATTGAACCGCCGTCAAAACGTCTTGCTCGGAAGGGACGCTTTTCCACAGTCCGAGACATGGCAGTCAAGCGTCTCGGAGCCCTTTGCACTCCGAAGAGGTGCGGATGCCATTCGCGCTTAATGAACATGGCCAAAGGTGTTTGGTTTATTTCTATTCCTCGTGGCTTTCATTCCAAAGCCTGCTCGTTCGGCCCGTCACGAGGCACGATCGCCGTCTCCTGTGCGAGCTCAGCACGAGGCTGTCAGAATGCAGCTTTGGCTGGGCTGCAGAATGCTTCAGATGCTTCAATGGGGCTGGCAAAACACTGGAACGGAAGTGGCTGTTCCTCCAGGAATCACTGACCTACGTGCCTCATCAAGATGCGCAGCAGCGCGTTCGACAGCACATGAGGCAAAAGCGGAGGAGCCTGCATTTGCATGTGTGCATGTGCCGCTCTGT